ATATTCCTACGACTTTTGATTACTGAGTTATCGCGGATTAAATAAAAGAATTATTTTGACTTTAATTGCTCATAACTCCATTAAAAATTGTCGTATCGTATAATTTAAAAAAGAGATTTTTAAAGCTGAAACTTTACTCTATCAAGATATATTTATATTGTTGGTAAGAAAGTAATTGCGGTTTTTACTGATAGATGTCTTTTAAAAAAACGCGATGACTTTTTACTTAACCTAATATTATACGAAAAAATGACACAACGAAATATATATATTATATATATTATATATTTACACACTTGCTCTGCACGAAATATATATGTTATCAATAATTGTGCAACTTTGTTACAAAATAAACTATATAATCTTATACACCCGTTGTTGCTTATTAATCAATCCCGTTAATTGAGTTTACCTTGATTAGAGAGTACACACGCGTGGTATGTCGAGTTCAGTGATCCGCACCGCACCTCGTAATTCCGATCGTTTTGTGCCAGTGCAGCGTACACGTTGTTTCTTGTGCGCAAAATGCGTGCGTATGTGTGCGCGAGCAATGGCGGATTAAGGCTTTTGAAGCTCTGTAGTAGTGCAACGTAATGCGATAATACTTCTACAGGGGATGGGGATTCGCGCGAAATTTCTTTAGCTACATCCTACAGTCGACGATGGTGGAGTCGAAGGAATTTAGACGATTTAATCATTACGACTGTCTGTATGACATCACTTTTTCTCGTAGATGTATCCCCAGATAGCAACGTCTATCTCGATCGATGCTGCTCGCAAATAAATAAGTGTACGTCTCTATTTGCAGAATTTGCAGCAACCAAGTGCAGCATTTGTGGGTAAATTGATGCCTTCACGATTAGACAGGCTTTAGGAAGCAACTTGCTAACAACTTCGAAAATTTTCATCATCAAAATTTATGCTGTTACCGTCATGTTGTCTTAATAATCTATAGCTTTATACAATAATGCTGCTATCATACTGCTGATGACGCAAACTAACTTTGATGCCGCTATCTCGCCATTAAATGCTATTGCGCGATACATTGTTGCTAATGTCGGTGGATTCATAATCGTTGAAGGCAAATGTATGGCAAGTCGCCAGATCGTAGACGACATTTATACGATTGGATTTACGCCAAAATTGTAACATCAAAATGTTATGAAACTGGCCAATCACAGTCATTTCCATTCTTCAGAGAAATAACTATAATTAGCTGTAAACGTAGTCATAAGCAATTGCAGATTTGCACGATTTTGCTGAGACACACTTGGGTTATCTGGGTCTCCGCGAATCGCGATTTTATACACACGCACAAATATTATGTTTACTTTCCTTACGTCATCATTTTTCAAAAGCCCGACGAGCGAGAGGGATGAAATTTTAATAATATAATTATTATGTCATTGTAATGAAATTGCCGATCCGAATAGCGAGGAAAATAAAATACGATATTCGATCGCGGTGTGCGATTGATCTGAGAATGAAGTAAATAAGCAAATAAGAACGCACGCACGGAAACGAATTGAAAACGATTTCGCGAAACTAGAAATGAGATGGTAACAATGAGAAGAATGGGGAAAGAGGAGTGAGCTTTAAATCGAATTCTCCGAATTCATCAGGTATGTACGTCGGAGGAAAGCCTTTTAAATGACGAAAGGACTTGCGTGACCCTCGCAGCGTAGTTTCGGGGCTCTCTCCCGACAGGGGGGATTGCGGAGGTGGCGCGACGGAGAAGGACGGAGAAAGGGAAGAAAAACAGGGAGGACGGGAAGGAAAAGGATAGATAGATAGAAACACAGTTACGTCCCGCTAATAAGCTTCATTCCTCGATACGCGCGCGGGGAGAATAATTATGGGCTTGCGCAGTGCGCTCGAGTCTTCGGGACGACTGCAGGGGGTTGAGAAAGGGGATTGCAGGGTGAGGGGGGGGGGCCCCGAGTTGCCGAGAGGGTGAATCGAGGAGAAATAAAGCCCCGAGCCCAGCCGGCGAATGTGGCCGCGCGCGCGGATGCTGAAATCTCGCTCCGCCCGCTCGTCGTCGTTCACGCCGTTCACGTCCTCCACGTCGTCGCTCACCACCTCGTTGTCTACGTTCTCGTCGTCGCGCTCCCGCATCTCGCGCGTCGCATCGCGAAACGTTCCGCGCGAGAGAGAGAGGGATAGGAGAGAGCGAGTAGAACGCGGATTCTCGCGCGGGCAGATACGCACGTGCGTGCGTGCGTGCTCGCGGGTGTGCGTGCGCGAGGGGGTGCGTGTGTGTTCTCGCGCGTGGGCATTCCGGGGGTGGAAGAGAAAAAGTCCCGGCGGCCGCTGCTGCGTTGCGTTACGCGTCGTGTGACACTCTCCGTCGGCGATGCCCTCGTTTCATCCCTAGACATATATTATATATAAGAACAAATATATTATATATATATATATATATATATATATATATATACACACATACACATACACACACGCATCTCGCCCACATCGCCTCGCGTGACGTTCTTACCCCGGATATGCCGAGGCATGCGCCGTAAAAATCCCGGGATTGATGTATCGCAGAGCGCAGGTACGCAGCCCGGCATGCGACTGCGGTGCATACGCACCCGCGTCTCGTGCGTTTGCATGCGTTTCTGTTCGTGTCTGGTATGCCCCGATCGGCTTACGATCCCGGCATTGCTGACGCGATATTTGAATAAATAAATGTCAGATTGGTGCGAGCCTCTTATTTTCATTTGGATTCCGATTCTCGAATTTCTACTTGGAAAAGGGGAGATTGAAAATATTTCTTTTTTTTTTTTTTAATGAAAAAAAGAGTACATTTTCAAATTCTCATCGAAACAATTTTGCTCCAATTTCGCTTCAACTTCACCATTTCATATTTGGCCAAATACGCACTAATCTAATAACCAATGTATCGTGCAGTCTTAATTAAGTTACGATATAGCTTTGGATTTTTTTGTTTTTACGATACCTTATTGCCTAAATATGATTTGACTTAAAAAGTGTTCAATAAATATTCTTCTTTTTCAAATTTTTGTTTTTTTTTTCCCTCTCTTAAATGCTACAGCTAATAAAAATATTTATTTATACTTGTTTTCATTTGTCACTTAAATCTATTTTCATCCTTATTTTTTTCAGAGATTATTTTTTTTCTATTTTCTTAGAGATATACGAAATCTACTGGATTTTAAAAAGTTAAAACGATATACAGGATGTCTCTAAATTCCCGGAGTACATAATATGATACTTTATGCTAAAACAAACAACTTTTTCCTTCAGCAAAATTGCGTCCGATAAATAATTTTTGCTCTTATTTGTTAACTTCAATCTACTCTTCTAAAACTACTTATCGTACGCAATTTTGCTAAAGGGAAAAGTTATTTGTCTTGTACTCCGTATGCGGGAATTTAGAGACACTCTGTATATGCGTTCAGCATATGAATGAATGTACAGGATATTTCTTCGCATACTTTATATATAATTGCGCGTATTTTAATTTCCTAGATCTGCATTTACTACCTGCTATGCATAGCAGCAGTGAACTTGACGTATACCTCCGACTCGGAGATTACGACGACGAGAAGCCGGGACTGTCCACTAGAATGTATTTGCCTTTCTCCGAAACAGGTAGAAAGCGACGTCTTCTAACACGCATGCTTCTTAATTTCGCAAGAATTTAGTTGTGATTATAAAATATTAGTAAGACGCGGGTCTTTCTAACGGAGAGAGAAAAAAATTTCACGCGGAAAAACGTGCATTCATTATTTTCGAAAATTTTCGCGGGCTTTAAAAGGAGCGCTCGAGAGTTTTGAACCCAGAAACAAAATTTCGATAAACGAAAATTTGCATTTTGAAAATATTGTTAATCAGCTTTTGTTATAAATATCACAATGGGTAGTAACTGTAACAATTTCCGCGTTCGCGCGCGTGCCTTCGTGAGCCTCTGTGAAACAAAAACACGGCAATTAATAATAACAATAATTATATTATAGGACTCTCGAATTTTAAACGATAACAAAAAAATAACTATAACAGGCTAATGAGAGTCAGCATCGATAAACGGCGCAATTATTTGGTGAACAATCAATAATCGGAAATTGGATTGTGACCGGTCCTCTTTATTTTGAACGTTTCGAGCCTCTCTTTGGAGTCCTCCTCAGCAAGAACGATACAAGAAGATAATTAGCTCACACGTCCATAATGTCCATATAACGGCAATTAATTTTCGTTACAGGTACTCTGCAATACAGGCGGCCTCGAGGACATCCCGGCGCAGCAGTTGCCGGAGAGTGTCGAGGAGTTGTCGCTGACGAAGAACAACTTCCCGGTGATAAAGGGTGATGCATTCGCGGGTCTCCGGATGCTACGTAAGCTCACCCTGGACGGTAACAACATCTCCTCCATACGGCCGTTCGCGTTTCGCGGCTTGAATCGGCTCCGCGAATTGTCGATCCAGCACACCCCGCTGCCGTACATCGAGAAATTCTCGTTCGCCGCCCTGCAGAACGTCTCGGTGCTGCTGCTGGCGAACAACAAGATCCGCTACGTCGAGGGCTACTCGTTCGCCGGCACGTCGAACGTCAACGTGATCCTGCTGAGCAACAATCCCCTGCTGACGATTCGCAGCCACGCGTTCGCCGGTCTCACCAATGTCAACAACCTCATCTTCCCGTCCGGCATCCGCACGATCGAGCAGGACGCCTTCGACGGCCTCCAGCACGTCGGCCAGCTCAAGCTCAGTTACATGGACCTGTTCGGGCTGCAGGCCTACACCTTCCGCGGCCTGTCTCACGTGCACTCGATCTACATCCAGGAGAGCGATCTCGGGGTGGTGCAGAGGAATGCGTTTACCGGCCTCCTTCACGTCGGTCGTCTCAATGTGCTCAACAACAAAATCGACCTAATCGAGCGCTTGTACCTGCGCCACGAAAACTACATCGAGGTTCTACGTTTCCACGGTAATCACGTGCTGGAGGCACCGCGTCACGCCAAGGACGTCGTTCTCGAGGTGGACACGGTCAGCGCGATCGATAATCACTTTCCTTGCGATTGCCAGGCGCACAACGTCCTCGAGAGCGATTTCGTCCGCGGTAACAGCGTCGAGTTCCAACGCCGTAACTATTGCATTTCGCCGTTCGAGTACAACGGCAAGCCCATGAACGTCGTCGACTTCGACCTCGTCGCGCGATGCCACGATAACGTGATCCAGGACAACTTGGGCTCAGGCGTCGTCGGGGTGTCCCGTTTCTCAGCGCTGCTGCTGATTGTCTTCCTGTTCTCGACAAATTTCTTCCGATGAGCGTACTCGCAACTCTTCCAATTATTCGATTATCAATCCGCCGATTTTCAGACGCTCGAGACGACGATAATTGATTTACGTGCTCTCACGGCTCGAGAAATCTTTCTTCTTTGCCATCTTCCTTCTGAGTATTCATAATTCGGTAAAGTTGACGAAGCGAGCGGACGCTTCGTACGATATTATATCAGAGGAAGGCCGGATAGTATCGGACACATTTTAGGTTTCTTCGAGTTTTTATTTTTTTGGTACGACAAAAATAATTGTATTATATCGGGTGGGCAAGAAGGTAATTGCGTTTTTTTTTAGCTCAAAGTTATATACAATATCTTCGTCAATAATGAATGAAATTTAAATTAAAAAAAAAAAAAGGTTTTAAAGCTTGAAATCTCTACCTTTGAAAGCTTAGCACATTTTTTAAGTTTATATGAGTTTGATAATTTTTACATACCAAAAACTACGAGCTGAAAAAGACGGAAAATTTTCTTCTCACTTTGTGAGTCTGTAACGTGGTCAAAACAAATTTGAGACAATTTTCGACTACCTACCGTGAAAGCTCAATACTATCCCTACAAAATCGTTTTTCTTAAATATTCCTATGATTTTTGGATTACTGAGTTATCGCGGATTAAATAAAAGGATCGCTTTAACTTTTATTGCTCATAACTGCATTAAAAATTGTCGTATCGCAATTTAAAAAAGAGATTCTTAAAGCTGAAACTCTATCAAGATACATTTATATTGGGTTGGTAAGAAAATAATTGCGGTTTTTACCGACAGATGCCTTTTAAAAAAACGCAATTACTTTCTTGACCCAATACATTATATGAATCATTATTCTTGTAACACTTCTTATCGTACTTTTCTAAAAGTGAAAATAACCAAAATTTTTACATTTTTTAATATCATTACATTTTCTTGTTTTTGTCAATTGAGAATGGCATCGGATAGAAATAGTTTAAAAAAAAAAACATGTTTCCCACTATTATTTGTGCATGATATCTATATTATCTCCCTGCCGCGCTTCAATAGCTTTTAATCTATTTCCTACCTTCTTTGAACAGAATATTGTTCACTCATTCTTTCTTATATTATCATTTTCATATTTCTTACTTTCTCGTATCTTTCTTAGAACAAAACAGCCGGCAATGGCTGTTAGATATCGCTTACCACCGTATTGTTCGATATCACCCGAATGATGCGCAACGAAAAAACAACGTGCAACTTTAAAACAAGAAAGATTTAAAACCCACAGTTTAAACTTGAAAGAATAATAGGTGCTGTTTATATCGGAGAACTAAAAACGAAATTCGACTTTAATGCGATGTGATTGGTTGGTAAAGTAACTCCGTGCCGCCTTAAACAACAACACTCAACAAAATGCACAATACTCACAAACATTGCTTCTATTCTCAATATGGAGAGATATTGACTCTCACATGCAGGTGCCAGTGACTTGACAAATGCTACCACACACACGTCTAAAATTTAAAAAAATCCATGTCCAATACTATTCGATCTTCTCCTGGATATATTATCATCGTAGAATTGATCTTCTGACCTGAAAGAAATTTTTAAAAAATCGAATTAAAAAAAGAGAGGAGTCTCGCGATTCGAAGTAATCGACAAGTCGCAAACTTTAATTAGTCCTCTATAAATTTGTAATTAGCAGATGAAATTTTGATTCGTGATACCAAGATGTAAATTTGTCCTCATCAAACCGATAGATTAAATATATATATATATATAGAATTGATCTAATTTTAACTTTTAACGTTGTAAATTAATTGCTTTAACATTTAAAAATGAATTCAATCAAAAAGTTTTTGGCTGGTTTTCTGGCTTATTAAAAGATTCTTTTGAATTAAAAAAAAAAAATCTATTTTTCCCGAATTAACTACCACTCGAGTACGAGTTGGTAGTCTTGAAAATTTAAAAGACAGAAAAATTTATTAGCTTTTGCCTTTAATTCAGTGAGTAGTATATTAATATTCCATTGCGAAAAAAATCTCATCCAGGGAGAATAAGAGCTCTTTATATAGGTTGTTGTACGATGTGATATTTTCCATTGTTAATCGAGAAAAATATCACTATTGAAAGGATATGAATACAGAGATGCAAAAACTAAAAAAAAAGATAGCAATAAAGGAGCTTCTGTCACCGTAACATTTATCCGTAATTATTATTCTCGATAATATCGCATCGAGATGTATGGACATTCGTAACGTAACGAGAGATTTATTCGCGCGAAAAGTCACTGTTACGGTTGTACGAGCGGAAAAAAGCACTGCTCATTAATGCCATTAATGAGTCATTAATGCCAAATGAATACATATCCTCTCGCGCATATGAAAGTGAACAAACGTGATCTCACATATCGAGAAGATCGATTTATCTAGCGTCGAAAATATTTCTTTGTTCTTCGATCTTAGTAATATATTTAAAACGAGTATATTTATAATTCTATTACATTCATCTATTATATATCGGAAATATTGATAATGTAAGTTATTATTAATTGTATATTAAGAGAATTTTATACTGTTAGTTGTACCACTGTCATATATGATTTAATTCAAGCTTTCTTCTGTATTATCATTTGTTTCGTGCGATATACATTTGATGCTAAATGTAGTTTCATCTTAAAGCAGAACAAATGCATGTATTTCTTTTTTTTTAATTGAAACTCAGAAATACGAGTTTAGTGCTATATGCCTCACAATAATAGACCTACATGTATTCCTTTCATATTTTCTTTCGCAATCAATCGAGACAGTGAATTCCGCAAATTCACAATCGATCGTAGAGTCATGAGAAATAAAACATTATACGAGCTTTAACTGGCCGGTATACTGGACCAGCACTGTCGCATTTACTTCGAATTTTGCGTGAAGCATGTCGTACATTTTTTAGGGACATTAAATAGTGAAAATATAATGAAATTTTATTCGCTAACAATAAGAAGAGAGCCCTGACTTTTTTTTTACACATATATACATAGATACGTCGTAATTTATATTAGTTACTGACCAAATTTCGCGTTATATATCTTGACATAAAGATACGATATTGAGAAAGCTAGGTATATATAAATATATAATTTTGGAGAGCGAGTATTATCGCTAAATAGATCCACTACAATTTTACTTCCGGGTCCAGGAATCCGAGCAATGCGTCTGTACGTTCACACCTGCTTTACGATCCCATTAGTATAGACTGAGGGATCACTAAATAATTCGGAAATGAGATGAAAGTATCTAGTGGTTAAGTAATCACATTTAATTGCGTTGATGCGCAAAATCATTGAAGAGGAATTAAGATATCGGAATTCCTCCTGCTTAGAATATTACGCGGTTTAAAAGGAATTGGCGAGAGAAATCTATCTTTTAAATTTTATTAGAGAATTAAAAATATCAATTTTAAAATAACTTTGGAGTAATCTGTTTATAAAATAAACACTTGATAAAAATAAAATAATTTTGAAGAAAAAGACAAAATACCTTATTAAACAATTTATTATCAATACAAAATTTTTTATTGTTTCAAATAATTGTTATATCACTAGATTGTGCTCTTTAGGTATTTTTTTGTCAAGACCTTTTAATCCGTGTATAAGAATACAACGTATTTCGAGACAGAGAAAGTGGATAACAGTGTATCACATGCTCAACACATTTTAGACGAATAATTAATTACTATATGAAAATCTTTTTTTTTTTACGCTTGTACGCGTATAAAAGTCGATGATAATATCAACGACTTTGAGGATTTCCATTAATGTGGAATTCTTTCGTGACATTATTGCGATATCGATCTCGTCAGCGTTATCTTAGAAACTGCTTACCATTCCACACATTAGAAACCGCATGCAGAAATCTGTTTTTATCAAGGCCGATGAAACTGACGCATTATTAATTAGACAAGGCATTTGACTCCGTAAAAAGTCACGAAATGCTTCTGAATTACATTTGGTAAACAGTCGTATATATAGTTTGTATAAAACAAATATTTATTGTGCCAACGTTTTCTATTAACTTGATATTATTAAATCAGGTAAATACCTGAGAGTACGAAGAAAAAAAAAGAAAGTATGAAGTAGGAAATTTTAAACAATATATACAACAGAACATTTTGTTCTTCAGCATAATCAAGTTCGTGAAAAAAAATATTGCTTCATAGATAAAAATACATTGGCGTCCAGAGGCTATATATGAACTGAATCAGAGTTATGAGATAATGCTATATTATGCTTACAATTAAAAAAAAAATAAAAACACAATATAAAGCGTGTTTCGCTGCCATTCGTAATGGAAGATTTGCTTGGCCTTCGGTCAGCATAATAACCGAGGACCAACCTAGCTTATATTTTTTACCAATGTTTGAAATAGCGTTTAATAGACACGATTATTGAAAACTGTAATCTTTCATTGTAGTTAGACTGTCCCGTCATATAATAAATGGAATAAAACATTAATATCGTCTTACATAATTCCCACAAATATTACACAACTTTCAAATGTTTTTGAAGATTCCATTGGAAACGATTTGTTTATCATTATTGTTATATGATAAAAGATTCGATAAAAATTGATTCTCATATTCATCCAAAACTAATAGAAAATGGAATATAAATATTTGAACAATTTAATACATATATTTGAGACCGCGGTATTTAATTTACAACATACTCTTTACAGCAAATACTATTTAACAGTAAGAGTACATATTTCATTTTCTATATTTATAATAATCTAGCATATTGTTAGAAAGCATTTAATGAATTGAAACAGTTGGTGGGTCCGGAATAGGATCGAACTCGCCAACACTCTCCATATATTGAACATCTTTACGGTATGGTTTCAACTCCCAGTGCATTCGTGATTCCATCGATGTTAGCGCAACGCCAAGATCTTCTAGAGTTGGCAATTTATTTGATACTACATCAGATATAGCTTCCTGCAAAACGCAATGTCAAATTTAATAATATTATTTAATTTATCATGTAATTCTAATTTTATTAGAGTTTACGCGTTCTCTTATAGGAAAATTAAAATATACCCTTTCCAAACGTTCCCACTGTAAACTTCCTAATGGATACGCAGGACTTAAGTATTCGTTCAAAGTAACTTTAAGTTGGAAAAGTGGAGCGTATTTTAAGTGCATCCTTTTGTAGCCATCCTGGACTGGATCGCGTATCCGTATTCGATGGAACCAGTCAAGTAATTCAGACAGTTTATAACGTTTCGGTCTACGCAAACAAAATATTCACATTTTGCA